TGGGATACAATCTTTTTGGAGTTTTATCCGTTAGTTTTACTTTTCTTATTGGAAAATATTTTTTTTTTTAAGTGCAGGGCTGCCGGAAATATTGTGGCTTGGTGGCTAGTCTAGACTTAGCTATACTAAGATAGGCGCGTATTCAGGGTTGCCTAACCTCAACAGGAGGTAAATTTTAATTTTCCTTTTTATTACTTAATAATAATAATATAATACGAATACGCTCCCTGTCTTGGCGCTATTATACTTACCTTTTGTTATTTGTTGAGTTAATAGGCTCACAGAGTTTGACCATACATTTTAGATTTACTTGATAATACCTTTTTTTTACTTATTTGGATAACCTCAATTAATCTCAGAACCTTGTACATAGAACCCTGACGAGTATAAATATATATTTGAATAATTTTTAAATACAGCCGTTTCCTTTAACTCCTGCATATCCGGTAATTGGTATGCAGTGTAACCAATTGTCTAGCCTAACTAATTCATTTACCTGGCGCCTTATCCCGAAGTAACTCCTTGTTCCTTGAACCACCCCCATCTCCCCTGTTCAAGCTGATCGAAGGCAAATTTTACACCAGAATTGGTTAGTATTTTTTTTATTGTAGTATTTGTTTCTAAATTATATGTTTGGTGTAACAGAGTGTTTTGAGGGACTTGGGTCATTCGCCACAAAACATCACATAACTTTAAAACCTAATGTAACACCTAAAATTATGCCAATTTGACGTGTTCCACAAACACTGCATAGTAAATTAAAAGCAAAATTAGATGATCTAGTAGAACAAAAAGTTATTGAAAAAGTTGATGACTCAACAGAGTGGCTTGATGCATTGGAAATTGTGGAAAAGTCTAATGGTGATTTACGCTTATGTTTTAACTTACTTTGATATAAATAAACTATTAGAAATTGAAACAGATATTTCAAAATTACGACTGGGTGCTTGTTTGTTACAAGCCAATAGCTTTTGCATTTCGCAGTTTAACAAAAACTGAAGAAAAATACGCGCAAATTGAAAAAGAGACCCTTACTATTTTGTTTTATATTCAAAAATTTACGGATTGTAATTTGTTGTTTTTAGTGATCACAAGCCTCTAGAATCCATTTTTAAAAGATTTGGAGTCTATATCTCCAAGATTGCAAAGGATAAGACTTAAACTTTTGAATTATAATTTTCGTGTTATTTATAGACCTGGAAAACAAATGTTTATTTCAGACACGTTGTCACGTGCCTATTTAACTGAAGATACAGTTTAATCAAGAAATTGACTATAGTGTACACACTGTGTACACTATAGTCAATTGTGTGTACTACACAGTATAATTAAAACTTTATCAATTTCACAAAATAGACTCCTTCAATTTAAAAATGAAACCAAAAAAGACGTAACTTTAAAACTGGAATTATTGAAAATTCAAGACAAAAGTGCAAATTCCATTATTTCGCAATTTAAATCTGTTTTTAGTAGATTTGTGTCGCCAGATACAGTAATTGCTGATAACATACCGTTTAATAGTGAAACATTTAGAAGTTTTGCTAAAGAGTGAAAGAGTGAAATTTTGATGTGTCATTCAGAAGTCCATATTTTCCTCGTTCCAACGGTCTCGCTGAAAAAGGTGTTTCAATAGCGAAAAAATTGTTAAATCATTAGAGAAAGGAAAAAATATAGACACAGCCTTGCTTAATTATAGAAATATGCCTCTTAAGAATATGGGTTACTCACCATCCCAATTGCTGAATTCTCGCATATGCAATACTAAAGTAGTTATTCCTTTTGATCTTTTGTTGCCTAAGCTATGTACAGGTGTAGTAGAGAAAATATAAATTAAGAAACACATGAATAAGTCCTATTTTGACAGAAATTCCAAAGATCTTATGCCACTTAATAAAAATTATAACATCACAATGTATAATCATGTAAGCAAGGATTGGACATCTGGACTTTCATAACAATCCTCGATCATATATTGTAAAGGACAATTTAAGCAATTTAGTTCGACGTAATAGACAGGATTTAAGATTTTCAAAAAATCCTTATCAATTGGAACCCTGTGTTGAACTTGGTATTGTGGATCAACCTCGTAAGAGCATAGAACCTAGTGAACCAATTAAAAAACCTGATAGTCTAAATCTGTAAGAAGGGGGATGTATAATATGCAACCTCAATTGCATATGTTTATATGTTTGGCACTAGATCGCGCCACTAAGATACTTAGTTCTGTGTGCTTGGCGCCAATATTAGTTAATCATAACCTAGAATAAAGTGTTCTTATGTTTCTAGAATAAACGTAATATATTAAGTATTTCAAGACTTGTTATTGTTAAATAACTCTGGCGGAATATTATACAGATTACGTGGTAACCACAGATACCGTCAACTCACCCGTTACGGATTTTTAGATACAAAATAATATTTAGAATTAAATATCGAAATGTTTTTTAATTTGCTATTTGATTAGGTAAAAACCTACCGGGTTTTACATTCAAAATAAAAAAGTTATTAACGTTTCAAGTTAGCCAAATTTTCCCTGGGTTTTCTCGGGTAATTTGTTAAAAGATGTTAAAGAATTTACATGAAATAATTTATATAATGTTTTAAGATTCCAAACATTTTACCCCCATATCCGTAAACCTAACAGCAAACATCTATAAAACTATTCACTTTAGGTATAGGACATGGTATAGTAATTTTACTCAGAATTTTATGTAGAATTTAAAAATGTAAAAATATATAGGGTGTTCTATTTTGGTCAAACCGGAAGTGGCATTTTGTTCAAAACATTAAAATAAAAAGACTTAAATGTTCCCCTAAAGCAAGTAGTAGTAGTAGTAGTTATTTTAGGTTGTGATACTATAGATTCTATAGCAATATATAATGGTCAAACTAAAACATCAAGATTTGTTTCCAACATATATTTAATACAAGATAAATATAAATCTGTTGTTTTATTTAAAAAAAAACAAAAATTAAAACCAGAAATTTTGTTGTGCTTAATAAAAGTTAAAATTAAATTAAATAATTTTCTTTAAGTATAATTTGTATTATTTAAAGAAATAAATGATTTATAACAAAATAGAGAATTAAAATTCTGTATAGGTTAAAATAATAGGAATTTAAATGACGTGATTTCCTGAAACGGGTACCTACGTTTTATTAACCTTTATTTTTAAAATCTGTAAAAAAATTTCATGGGGGGAAAATCGTGTTGAACTGTGTTATACTACTATAAAACTGTGTTATACTACTATAAGTATGGCAAATGCGGCGTTTTATAACAGTAACTTTTAATTGCCCCTGGTTGGTAAAACATACAAAATGGGTACCTATTTTTGTAGGGTAAATTAAAAATTAAATTTGTTAAAGAATGCAATACGTTGCAAATCGATGTAATTTTGCAACTCATTGCATTAATAGCGATTTTAATTATTGCATTTCCAGTTTTGATCCAATTTCGAAAGGGTTATAAAAATAAAAGTCGAATTGACATATCAGAATACGCTATTTATTATTATTTTCTTGAAAAAAAGAGATAAAGGTACTTAGTAATATCGGCAATAAAATATGATACTTTTACCCAATTATTTTAACTGTCCAGTTTCTTGAAAATAAAAGTCCGGACTTTTATTTTCAAGAAAATTTTGATAAATGCATAAATCAAGAACGTAAGTAATTGATATAAGCCCCCTGATATATTGTTCTTAAATAGTTCATATCGAATAACATTGGCAAAAGTGGCATTTTACAGATTTAGTTTCTTGTACAATTATAATCAGTTGGATAATAATTTTTATATTTTTAACTAAAAAGAATATTTTTAGATTTTTTTCATAACATATTTATTTTTTTGAGTCTGCTATGAAAATGTTTTAAAAGCTCTCTCCAAAAATCAGATCAATTAAAAATTTTCGCCAACGAATTTTAAAAATTTATATATTTTTTTTGTTTGCTATGCTAACTTTTCGTACACAAAAAATTAATAACTTTTGATGTTTTCTAGCGACTTAATTTAAGATCAAATTTTTATTTCACTTTTATTAATGAACTTTTGTATTTTTATACACATCGAAATGGAACAAAATATATTTTAAATATTAGTACCGTAACGGTCAATCTGTCTGAAAAAAACGCTGTTTTCGGGAAAAATTGACCATATGAATCGTTTGGTGCTGATAAAAAAGCTTAGGTAACCCAAACTTTGCGAATTAAGGTGAAAAGTACCCAAAAAGCGTCTTATTGCAATTAAAAAATCACACCTTCAATGCAGTGTTTATTTTTTTCCAAATCATGGTATATTTTTACTCATTATATGAATTAAATTAGGTAATTGTTAATATTAATATTTTAAGGTCGCTAGAAAACATTAAAATCAATACACAAAAAAATTCTAAATTTATTAGCGACCCTTAAAAGTTTTTATTTGAGCTTAAATTATAAGTAAGTTATTCAATTTTTATGTACAAAAATTTACCGTAGCGAGCAGTTTTGGAATTTTTAAAATTCGTTTTTAATCAAGCAGATTTTTGGATAGAGCTCTTGAAACATAAAAAAACTTATATTTTTATATAAGCCTCGAAAAAAATTGTGCCTCCCTTATATTTATATAGAGGTATTATAGAAATATTTGTTTGTATTATTGTAGTATCATTTTTTGGCACTGGAAACCTGCACTTTTTAATTCAAAAAATGACAATTGTTACCGTTTTTTATGTCAAAATCTATATTTTGACATAAAAAACGGTAACAATTGTCATTTTTAGAATTAAAAAGTGCAGGTTTCAAGTGCCAAAAAATGATACTACAATTATACAAAAAAATATTACTATAATATTATCTTAATACGAATTTAAAATTTGTGTTGTATTTTACATTGTATTTTAGGTTATGATTAAAAAAAATAACTATTAATTAATACAATATTTTTTATATTATTTAATATTTTTTAAATATTTTAGGTTACTCATAATTTACAAGTATCTGATGGAGACAATGGATTAATGCTTCTTCGTGACCAAATTGTAATTCAAATTGGTGAAGAATTAGATGGAATGGTTATGATTCGTTCAGGGGATAACCGCCAAGGTGTTTGTCCAATTAAATTTTTACAGGAAGTGTGACATCATAATGAAGTTAATTGTCAAGTTAATAGTAAATGTACGAAGGTAAATAAATCTCCTAAATACTACGGTATTAAAAAACTGTATTATCCAAATCCGTCGTGTATGTTAATGCAAAATAATGCACTAAAAATAAAAAATAATGAAAGAAAACCAAATAATATCAACTATTTAAATACTGGAAGCATTATACAGTATTATTATAATAATTTTTATTCAAAAGGCTCAAAAGAAACAAATATATATAACAACAATGTGGTTAAAAGAAGAATTAACGAGTTGGCATTTTTACAAGGAAAGGCTCCATTTTCTTCAACAAAACGTCCCCTATCTATAAGACTATCCACACCCAAACACATAAATTTTTTTAGAAAATCTTTTTTATCAGACTCCCAAAAACGCCCTTTGTTACTACATGGATCTAGTTATGCTTTAGATAACTGTAATTTACCAAATAATAAAAACGGCATAAAAATATCATCAATTTACACCATAAGTGAAAGTGTTGAAAAAGTTAACTTATATCGTAAAAATTTATATATTTCATCGAATAGCAGGCCTTTGTTTGTAAGAAAGTAACATTAATAAATACAGAAAGTTTTAGGCACTATGAGACAGATTATTTTTTATAAATGTTATAAATCTTAAATTAAAAAACAACATAGTTATATCAGCACTTATAGTATACTTACTTAAGGCACATTATATAGAAATAACGCACATTTGTAAAAATTATTCGTATTTGTCATTTCCTTACATGTTAATTAAATAAATGTATTTTAGGGTACAAAAATGTTTGCTCCATTAGAAATACGTACAATTTTAACTCAATCAAAAATATTTTCTAAAGTAAATCCCGAAGTTTTTTTACTTGCAAAATAAATTAGACCCATATAGTGCCACAGACTAGGTAACGATAATTTTTAATTATGTATACCATTTTTATTTCACATTTTTATGATGCCTTTATTAATTTTCAACATTTTTAAAATTGAGTAAGATACAGAACTTATAAGTACTCTCTTAATATGAAATAGTCAAAATTTTACTATTGGAATTAGTACCAACATTTTTTAATAATAAAATAGTCGTTTTCACTTCGTAAATAGTTAAAGTTTGACTAATTTAAGATTAGTCAGGGAACCTACCCATACTACGTGACCCGTTAAAGGGGGGGAGGGGTGGTCTTCAAAATAAAACTCTTGATCACAGGATCGGAGGGGTTTAGGTTTTTATCACGTAGCTACGTGATAAAAACCTAAAGTACAAGTGAAAAAAATATTATTAAGAAAAAAAACTTAAAAAACTATATTATAGCTTGAAAAAGCGCGAGAGGATATTGGCTACGCGTAGCAAAAAATGATTAAAGACCATTTTTATGAATTAGTACGTGAAAACTGGGGGGTCTTGGCATATACTATGGAAGGGTTTGGGGTAAAAACTTGTAAAAAATGGGTCTCGTAGTATGGGTACGTTCCCTCACAATTTTTTACTATTTCTGAGAATTAAAAGTAACTATTTTCTTTAATCGTTTGGGACCAAAACCAAAGTATTATTTGAATTAAATGCATATAGTCTCCATGGTTAAATGGCCCATAAAAACAAAGGTGCAAAAAGTTTAGCTCAATAAAGCAACACGAATAATATATTCAACTTTAAAATATTATGAGCAATATTTATTGACAAATAAAATTGATTTTTATAAGAGACAGACCTGAGTTTAATCCCCGGCGGAGTCAAAACTTTTTTAAATTTAAATCTACTAATTTGACTAGGACCCACACCAAATTTATATGAGTTTATAATGACATTAACTAAACAAGTTCTGCGCAAGCAGAATTAAAATTGAAGTTTGCGAAAACAGGATGACTTTTTGCTCGGCCGTACCGGCCCCATGGCGCTCCCAATAAATATAATATAAATTTAATTTTGTTTTATTTTAATATAAACTACACTGTTTAAAAGTTTCACTATTTTAAAATAGTGAAACTTTTAAACAGTGTAGTTTATATTAAAATAAAACAATATTAACATGGAGTTTCATCAAGTAAAAGTCGAAACAATTAATTATAAATTTAATTGGTGCAATTTATTATTTACCATTGTTTCTCGACAAATTTCAATTTTCATTTAAAATATTAAAATTATACAGATTTTATACCATTTTAAATTTTTATTATTTCTTTAAAATGGGGGCGCCATGGGTCCGGTACGGCCGAGCAAAAAGTTATCTTTTTTTTGCAAACTTCAATTTAAATTCTGCTTGGGCAGAACTTATTTATTTAAGGTCATTATAAACTCATATAAATTTGGTGTGGGTCCCATATCTAATAATTGAGATATCCGTATACCCAAAATCCACCATCGGCCACTGCTGTTAATGTATACTATATACATATTATATTACTAATTATAATTGCTTTACTTCGCTCGCTTTAGCTAATTAAATATAGAAGCGTTGGAATCTTAACGGACCTTAACCGGTTAAACTTAAGTTTTTAATTGTTTCGACCTTTACTTGATGAAACTCCATATTATTATTATTAAGTAGATATAAAAACAACTATGTTTTTGAAAGTTTTACGTGATTTATTTAATTTTTGACAATATTTTCGTCACACAGTGACTTCTTCAGTATGTATTTAAACTTTAAATTAAGTAAGTTTATATTACACATAACAATATTTCACGGTACAAAATTTTTGGGTCTACCTGAACAAAACTGTGTAACGAAACAATTAAATAAATTACGTGAAACTTTAAAAAAATTTAATTGTTTTTATATCTACATAATCCTAATATACTTAAGTTAATCCATAATTTTTACTTTATTCGTAGCATATATTTCTTGGGTTCTTTTAAATCTTTTGTATACTCCCTGCTAAAACAAAACTATAAAAAACCATTAATGAATGAGCTTATTGTTCTAAATCGGATAATGGCAAATTGACCTTTGGTACCTAATCATGAAAGGTTTTTAAGTTAAAAATGGATGCAATAAGCAAGTTTACTACTCGTTCAATGGTATTTAATAGTGACCATAAATGTTCAATGGTTATTATATAGATAATTACTGTTGTAACTTTAACTATCATTTTCCAATGGTTTTAACATAACCTTAAGGTCATTTCAAGCGTACGGACGGGAAAAATTACAAGCCTGTCTTTATACAAAAATTGTGGAGAATTTATTATATATTATTTTTGCATCAAAATTGTCAAATATATTCTTCTTTTATCAGGCTATACGTTAAATAAAAAAATCGCAAGAAATATTTTATAAAAGTAGAGATAATTTCAATATTTGACAGGTGAGATAAATCTTTTTTTTGTCCCGTCCACACCTTTCAATTATTAAAATTATCTGTACCTTTATAAAATATTTCTTGCGTTTTTTTTCAATTTAATGTATAACCTAATAAAAGAAAAATATTTTTGACAAATTTTATGCCAATATAGGTATTGTATAATAAATATTCTACAATTTATTTTATAAAAAGAGTTTTGAAATTCATGTGTTTCGCGCGCTTGAAATGTCCGCATAGTTGAATTTAATTCTATAGGCCACCAATTTTTTAACAAGATATTATAAAAAACCTACACATGACATTCAATAAACTTTATTAATTATTTTTGAAAACATATACAAAAGAAATAAGTGAAGCAGGAATTATTTTTTTCAATCATCCAAGAAATTATTTAATTATTTATGCAAATGATGGCAAACTTTCAGTAGTAATAATTCAAGTGAAAATAAATTGACAGATTTTCAAAACCTGCAAGTTTACAGGCAATAGACACGAGTGATTATTGCCAAATGGCAATGGCAAAAGGCTTTAATTAAAATATTTTTTTTATCATAACGTTTTTAGGTTAGGTTTATCTGACATTTTAAGCCTATGTCTAACTGTGCAACTACTCGCGGCGACCAGCTTTCCGCAATTTTTTGGTGTTGCAACTAATCAGCTGATCTATTTTCATGCAATACAGTCACTTTAGTAACTTTTATAGTGATTTACGAATTTTTACTAAATATTTTGGTTGGTACTCAATATTTATCAGCTGTGGGATGACAGATGCGTTTTATCTTGGGATTTGCGCATGGAGTTCGAACTTCATGTATACAAAAATCTTTCTAAGATAAGAGGGTGGATATTAAGTTTGGGCTCCTTGTGTAGGCTCCATGGATTTGCGTTTAAGCTTTATAATCTGTGCTTTTTTTATTTACAAGCCTGTAAAAATTAACAAAAGAGGCTTAGGGTTTTTACACAAAATACTATAACGAAAAAACCAGGTAAAACAAAAACCTATTTAAAGAAAAACAAAAACCTATTTAAATAAACCTTAATTTTGTTTGTGTATTTTTATTTTTCAACGTAATTTTTTATTAAGTTGGCAATCCTAGTAGAAAATAGCGTCAATTTAATTGCATCGTGTGAACAACCTAGAGGCAGGGCTGGATGCTCCCGTGGACGAGTTTTGGTTCGTGCCGCGTTTGACATCACTCGATGAGTAGTTGCCGCGCGAATACATGAATAATAGTTATATTATTAAAGAAAATAGAGAAATATCTGGACATAGTGCGTTTTTATTAAACTTTATATTGAAGAGTGTTAGTGATATAATATGGATGAGAGATGCTTTCAGTCCACGATAACATTTAGGGCTGTAGTTTAAGAGTTGGTGTTTTAAATTAAACTTAGTCACTGTCCAGAAAATGTTTAGAGCAAACAGAAGCGGTCTTAACGGTAATATTATCTTTTTTGTGGCATATAACCACTGTTTGCACAAATCAAAGTTTTTCGGGAACCGATGAAATTTAATGTTTTTATTTAAAGGGTTTTTCTTGTACTGGTTGTCCGAATATGTCACACCGCATTTTAATAAATGCAAATGGCACGACACAAACTTAAACACAAACAAAACAAGTAAACGCAACACAAAAACAATAATAAACAAACAGAAC